GTGGAGCAGCTGGTACTTGAACCGTTGCCCATATGGAATGTTGGCACTGCAGGTGGCGGTTTTACCCACTATACCACAGTACTAGCCCATAATTTTAGCCATTCTTATAGATGTGTAGTAGTCTCATTATAGTTTTAATTTACATTTCCTTGGTGATTAAACAATATTAACCTTCTTTTGCGCATGTACAGTGCTTACACCTGCCCCCGAGAAGTATCTTCATATCTTTTGTCCATTTTTTGAGTTGGTTTCTTATTTAGTTTTGAGCATTCTTTGTATTTTCTGGATATAAGTGCTTCATAAGAATTGTGATTTGCAAACATTTTCTTCTGGTCTGGCTTGTTTTCCCTTCTCTTAACAGTGTCTCATTCAAAGAGCAAAAGTTCTTAATTTTGATTAAGCTCAATTTATTTTTTTTTTACTTTTGTAAATCATACCTTTGTTCTTTTGTAAGAAATCTATGCATAACCCAAGATTAGCAGAATTTTCTCCTATAGTTCCTCCAGAAGTTTTATAGCTCTGTGTCTTAAATCTATCTGCCAAATATTTTTTGAAACCCATGCATAGTTTTCTCATTTCACATATTTTCCACATAATACTTTTGTAAAATTTGCATCAAAATAAACTTACACTTTTAATTATATTTTCCCATGAACTTTTTGAGGTGCTCTGTATATTAGGCTCCTTGATGATGTCCATAGCTCACTGATGCTCTTTTCATTTATTTCAGCCTTTTTTCCTCCATGTACTCCATTTTGAATAGTTTTTATCACTCTGTCAAGCTTGCTCTTCTGCAAGTATGCCCTTCTGCATTCTGCTGTTAGTCATCCCTGACAGAGTTTGTGTCTTAGACATTTTGCTTGTCATCTCTAAGTTCACATTGGATCTTCTTTTGTATCTGTTGTGTGTCTACTTAACATACCAGGTTCTTTCTCTAGCTTCTTAGCATAGAAACCCAATATGTAAAATTGAATTAATCACTGTAATGTCCTTGTCTATTAATTCTATCACAGTTGTGTTTGAGTGGACCACTCTGTTTTCTCCTCATTCTAAGGCATATTTCCTGCTTCCTAGTGTGCTGGTAATTTTTGATTGGCTTCCAGGAATTATGAATTTTACTTTGTTGGGTGATGGATATTTCAGTATTAGAAATATTCTTAAGTAGGGGCAGGAATTGTACAGTGGGTTAAGCTGCCGCCTGCGAGGCTGGCATCCCACATGGGCTCTGGGTCAAGTCCCACTTGCTTCACCTCCCATCTACCTCCCTGCTACTCTGCCTGGGAAAGCAGCAGCAGATGGCCCAAGTGGGAGACCTGGATGGAGTTTCAGGCTCCTGGCTTTGCCCTGGCCCAGTCTCAGTGATGCAGCCATTTGGGGGGTGAACTAGCAGATGGAAGATCATTTCATTCATTCTCTCTCTACCTTTCATGTAAATAAATTGATTTATTTGAAAGTCAGAGTTAGGCAGAGAGGTCTTCTATCCGCTGGTTCACTGCCCAGTTGGCCACAATGGCCAGAGCTTCACCAATCTGAAGCCAGGATCATCCTCCGAGTCTCCCACATGGGTGCAGGGGCCCTAGGGCTTGGGCCATCCTCTGCTGCTTTCCCAGGCCATAGTAGAGAGCTGGGTCAGAAGTGGAGCAGCCGGGACTCAAATCGGCGCCCATATGGGATGCTGGCAGTGCAGGCAGCAGCTTTACCCACTACGCCACAGTGCCAGCTCCATTAAATAAATCTTAAAAATGTATATTCTTAAACTTTGTTCTAGGATACAGTTCCTTGTCAGTAGTTTGATTCTTTCAGCTCTTGGTTTTTCAGCTTTGCCAGGTGTGACCAAGACAAAGGAAATCTGGGATGTAACTGTGTAGTTAGCTGGGGCATTTGCAGGGTTCATCCTGTTTTCCATTATCTGATCTCTGATGTCTTGAAAAACACTTTCATATAATATGTCCAGTTTTTTAATAGTCTCAGATTGAAGGGTTATGTTACTTCATCTAAGTCAGAATAGGAGTCATTTGAATAAGTGAATCATTCCCATGGTAGAAAAAACTTTATATATAAATATAGATATAGATATATCCAGCTATCTTCTACTCTGATTCCTTTCTACTGCATAGTTCTCACCATCCCAATAAGAAACTATGCTATTAGTTTATCTTCCCAGAGTGTCTTTATTCATATGCTAGTAAATGGTAGTTACCTATTTTTATTCTCCTTCCACCTCCTTTTTCATTTGTTGCATAGCAAACATGGTATTTTGTACCTTGTATTTTTTCCACCAAACCATGCATCTTAAGGATCTTTCCTCCTTGGTACCTGGATAGCCTGTTGATAAACACACACCTTTTTAAAAAATTTTTATTTAATAAATATAAATTTCCAAAGTATAGCTTTTAGATTATAGCAGCTTCCCCTGCCCCATAATCTCCCTCCCACCCGCAACTATCCCATCTCCCACTCCATCTCCCATTCCATTCTTCATTAAGATTCATTTTCAATTATGTTTATATACAGAAGATCAATTTAGTATATACTAAGTAAAGATTTCAACAGTTTGCACCCACACAGAAACACAAAGTATAAAGTACTGTTTGAGTACTAGTTATACCATTAATTCACATAGTACAACACATTAAGGACAGAGATCCTACCTGGGGAGTAAGTGCACAGTGACTCCTGTTGTTGATTTAACAATTGACACTCTTATTTATGATGTCAGTAATCACCCGAGGCTCTAGTCATGAGCTTCCAAGGCTCTGGAAGCCTCTTGAGTTTTCCAACTCCGATCTTATTTAAACAAGGCCATAGTAAAAGTGGAAGTTCTCTTTTCCCTTCAGAGAAAGATACCCTCTTTGATGGCCCATTCTTTCCACTGGGATCTCACTCACAGAGATCTTTCATTTAGGTGTTTTTTTGTTTGTTTGTTTTTTTGCCAGAGTGTCTTGGCTTTCCACGCCTGGAATACTCATGGACTTTTTAGCCACATCCAAATGCCTTCAAGGCTGATTCTGAGGCCAGAGTGCTGTGTAGGGCATCTGCCATTCTATGAGTCTGCTGTGTATCCGGCTTCCCATGTTAGATTGTTCTTTTTAATTCTATCAGTTAGTATTAGCAGACACTAATCTTGTTTATGTGATCCCTTTGACACTTAAACACACACCTTTTTTAAATAGCACAATAGTGTTATATTCCATAAACTTGTCATTTTAACCCGTTCTCTACTACTATATATATTGCTTTTAATATTTTCCTCTTAGAAGTAAGTCAGTAGTTAATAGTCCTATACACGGGGGCTGGTGCTGTGGCATAGCAGGTAAAGCCGCACCCTGCAGTGCTAGCATCCCATATGGGCACCGATTCAACTCCCAGCTGCTCCATTTCCCATCCAGCTCTCTGCTATGGTCCGGGAAAACAGTAAAAGATGACCCAAGTCCTTGTGCCGCTGCACCTGTGTGGGAGGCCCGGAAGAAGCTCCTGGCTTTGGATTGGCCCAGTTCCAGCTGTTGCGGCCATCTGGGGAGTGAACCATCAGATGGAAGACCTCTCTCATTCTGCCTCTGCCGCTCTGTAACTCTGCCTTTCTAATAAATCTTTTTAAAAAATTCCTATACACAAGTCATTTTGTGTCTATCATATTGATAACTGTTGAATACATTCCCAGAAATAGATTACTGGGTCAGAAGGTTTATACATTGTAATCTTGATAGCTATTACCATATTGTGCTCCTGACAAGTTTAAGCATTGTTCCATAGGCCTATTAGCCCCCAGTACTTTCAACACAATGTTATCAAATATTTGGATTTCTGATGAGGTAGGAAGAAAATGTATTCATGATATAGTTGTAAGTTGTACATTTTTTTACTCTAAGGTTGGACGTTTATGTTTTGGGGTTGTTTTATGTTAATTTTCATCTACTTGAAAGGCAGAGCAACATACACAGTTACCCCATCTGCTAATTCATGCCCCAAATGCCTGCAACAGTCAGGTTGGACCAGGCTGAAGTGGAGTCTAGAACTCCATCCATGTTTCCCACATGGGTAGCAGGGGCCCGTGCACTTGAACCATCATCTGTAGCCTACTAGGACACATTAGCAGGAAGCTAGAATAGAAGTAGAGTAGCCGGAACTTGAACTGGCACTCTCATGTGGGATGCAGGCATTCCAAGCGGGTGGCTTAACACCCGCTCTGCCAAAATACTGCCCTTCCTTAGTTTGAAAGCCATCTGTGCTTTCTTTTCTGTATTCTATCCTAAAAATTTTTTACTATTCTTTTAGTAATAAGAATATGGAATTGAAATATTTTAATAATGAATGAACAGTTAACATGCATAACCTATTAGTGAAGCACTTTAAAATGCATTTAATGAAATATAATCTAGTTAAATCCTTATGGTTTTAAGGCCATTGCCAAATATCTAGATCAAAGGTTTTTTAAAGCTTAAAGTTCAAAATAAAGCCAGGTTAATCTGAGTTTTTGAACACCTAAGTTATATCTCACAATTAATATGTAAAAAATAAGTATTGTTCCTCTAGAAATCTTTTTGAGAGATATAGTTTGTATTCTACAAATAACTGCATTTAGGGAGCAATTCAAAAGGAGTAGAAGTGTGAATATTTGGATTTTGGACTATTTTGTAAAGTCTGAGCTTTATGGTTGCAAAGTATGTTGTGTCTTACATGTAAGCTTGATGACCACACTCAATGTTAGATGACAGGGCATAGGTCTTAACTCACACACCCTTCTTGAGATACAGGATATGCAGATATTTTTATAGCTTTAACATAGCAATCCTTTTTCTCAGCCTCATCTCCAGGACCTCTAACTTTTTGCTTCTGTCACTTATAATTTGCATGGATTTTCCCTTGTGACAATTGATTAGGGAGGGAAGTGCTCTACCGAAAGAGTGAAGTAATGAAATGGACCAGTAATTTGTTTATATTTTGTTCATTATAAGTTGAAAGTCTGGCTTTACTTATGCAATTGAAAAATATATTTTTAGAGTTGCATCAATATGGAGAGGCATCCAGCACATGTCCATCAGGTATGATGTTATTTGAGAACATTCGCTGGTACTTGGTTTTTCTGTTTTATCAGAATTAAAATTACCTTGATTAAATTTAAGTCATTTTGGTTTTTTGTTGTTGTTGCCAAAACGTTGAGCTGCATGCCATTGTCAAGGCAAACTCTCACACTTTAGCAATCTTGAATATTGTTTGCTTGCTTTTTAGATACTTATAAATTGTCTATCAGGAAAAAAAATTGGCTTACTGATTTTTTTAGCATGAATTTTTAGCCTTTTCAAAGCTATTGAAGATATTTTCACTGCTTTCTACAAAAAAACCATACAATTGCAAGTAACCAAACTTTTATTTCATGTAACCAAATTTAGTTATTTTTAAATTATTTCAGGATGCATCAGTCACATTGGTTTTTACCACACTAATATATCTACTTATTATTTAAATATCTTATGTAGTTGTATTTTTGGAAGTATGATGAACAGATAGGAAAACAGCATTATTGTTCTGACTAATTGTGTGCTTTTCTGCTTATTAAAGTTTTCTTGCTGATTATCGCTAAGGCTGTTCTTTAGATGATAAAATTTGTAACTTCTTAATGAGTGGACGGTTTATACATATTCAATAAATATGTATAAAACAAGCCTGTTTTAAGAAAGCTGTTGGTGTGAACTTGCTATCAAATACTGAAAGTGCCTAATTTAATTAGAATTCAGGCTTGGGCATTTGGAGCAGTGATTAAATCTAAGTTGCCACTTGGGACACCTGCATTCCCATATTGGAGTGCCTGGTTCAAGTCCCAGCTACTCCAATTCTGATCCAGCTTCTTACTAATCCACCCTTGGAGGCAGTGTGTGATGGGTCAAGTATTTGGGTCCTTGCTGCCCATGTGGAAGAGTCTGACTGAGTTCCAGGCTCCTGGGTTCTGCCTGGCCGAGCTGACTGTTGACAGGATTTGAGGAATGAAACCAGTGGATAGATCTCCCTCCCTTCCTCTTTCCCTCTCTCCCTTTAAAATAAAATGAAAATAGAATTTCAAAAAAATTCAGTTTTAAACAAATGAATAAGTTATTCCAAATAACTGGAGCTCATAATGGTGGTAACGTGCATATTTTTATTAATAAAGCAAATAGAGAAATGAGTACTTAAATGAATTTAAATTGAAGATGATCTCAAGGCGTTTTCAGTATTTGTCTTAAAACTAATTTAATGCTGATCATTTAAATTTAAGTGATTTTATAAATCAGATCAAGACAATTCCAGGAAAGTATTTTTTGCCCTAGTTTTGGTCAGTTAAATCTCTGTTAAAGTTACCAAATGTATTATTGCAGGTCTGACATCAGCATGAAATTTTTTGTTTAATTTTGTTTTGGGGGTTCCTTCACAGTCAGTTAACACATCTTAGATAAATGCTTTAAGTCAACTGCAAGTATTATTTCAGGATAATTGGAAAGTAGCATTTACTTGCATTAAAATTATGCAGTGTTGGAAAATCAAGTGAAAAATTGGGATAAGAATAGTGGCATAAAATGATAGTCAAGCTCTTTGTTGATTTAGGATTGGATAGATTAAAATGGAATTGAAAAATATTTTTATTTTTCTTAATATAAAGAGAACAGATTTAACATGATTCATAGATACAATTTTCTGTTTTTTGAGATAACATTTTTATTTACTTTATGATCAAAGGCTTAATGCTCTACTAGAGTTGAAGAAATAAAGAGAAATAAGACATAAACATTAATATATTAAAATTTCAACATATATTAATGTTTTGTTTCTCTCAGGTACCAAATCATCTTATTAATATTCTAATAGCTTGATTCTTATTTGTCAGAGACAACTTCCTTAACCCCAAATACTCAGTACACTGTCAGTTACATTCAAATCAGTGGTGTGAAAAGATCAGTGACAAATGATAGATCTATGGTATTTTTCATTGTGCTGTGTGTTTTAGGTGTTTGTGAAGTGTCATTTTGATTATAATCCATACAATGATAACCTGATACCCTGCAAAGAAGCAGGACTGAAGTTTTCCAAAGGAGAAATTCTTCAGATTGTAAACAGAGAAGATCCAAACTGGTGGCAGGTTAGTATGCTTCTCAGAGATTCTTCAGCTGCTTTTCCAGTTCCAGTCTTCGATCTGGCCAGTGTCTGAATATTCGGGAGGAAGGTATTAGCATTTGCTCCAATGATTTTTCCTACACAGCCAGCTCCTGCTTCACAACTACTGATTTTATGGACAGACGGCCCAGTTGTGAGCAGCTGTAAATAAACAGTGCTAACCTGCCTGTGGTGCCGGTGCCCTGATCAGGGGGTGAGATCGGCTGCCTCTGTGCTGCTGGGCAGAAAGAACTCACTTGGGATAGTCCCTCTCTCACCTCCTCTCCCTGTGGTCCTAGAGAGTAAAGCATAATTTCTTCAGGTCCTAAATCCACTCACCCACATGTCAGTTCTTGAGAAACGAAGCCTTGCTCTATCACTTCTGTTTGTTCTTGGGTTAGAATGTGAGTGTGCAAGGGAGATAAATATTTTTCCTGTATTTTTCCCTTGCTCCATTTGCCAGAAGATCTGGGTGATGATGTTCTTTTGCGTCTTCCCTAACACGCTGTTCAGAGTCCTCTAGCAGCAGTAATAAGTCTGTTTTTGTCTTAATCAGCTAGCAACTACAGTATTTAGAACTAGGGAAACTGACAAATCAGAAAACTTGAGATCTTTTAAGCTATCAGAGCAAGTGAAGTCTCATTAAGAACAGAATGTAAAAGGAAAGGACCCAGACCGAGCACCAGACTGTAAAATCAACTGAAAAGTAGGTAAATCATAGCAGCAAATTTTATGGCCTTCCAAAGGAAATGATTCACAGAATGAGAACAACCTCACTAATGTGCCCCTGCATTTAAAGTAAGGTGCTGTTAGGTGTAAGTGCACTGCGTGGTGAGGAAACTAAGAAGTGGATAAATTAGAAAGAATCCATGGTGTCAACAGGTTTTTACTGAATTTCTTAGACCCCTCATTTTAAAAATCTGCTTTCTGTGGCTGTTTCCTTTATGAATTTTTCTAAATTTCCCTCTCCTTTCTCTTTTCTAAGAACACTGTCGCATAGTTCTCTTCTAACCCTGTCGCCATTATTTCAGTCTCTTCCTGTATTGTGACAGTCCTTTGCTTGAATTCTGTTTTTCATGATTGTAATTGCTAGCAAAGGTACCAGATTTTCCATGCTAGTTACAAGAACAGACACTAACCTTGTGATAAAAGCCAATTTTCTAACTATTTAAATATATTACCAATTCGCATTTTGTTTTAAAAGTTAGTGTTTTTTGGCATTAGAGTTTTTATTTAAATTTGCTGCCTGTCTTGCATCAGCATTGTGCCATAGCAGGCTAAGTCAATGACTGTGAAGCTGGCATCCCATGGGGGCTCTGCAAGTCCCAGCTGATCCTATTCTGATCCAGCTCCCTGCTAGTGACCCTGGAAAAGCAGCAGCAGATGACCCAGCTGCTTGGGCACCTGCATCCACGTGAGAGACCTGGGTGAAGCTCCTGGCTCCTGGCTTCAGCCTGGCCCAGCCGTGGCCATTTGGGGAGCAGATGGAAGATTCTCTCCCCCTCTCCCCCTCTCCCTCTCTCCCTCTCTCCCTCTCTCCCTCTCTCCCTCTCTTTCTTTCTCTGTAAGTTGCCTTTCAAATAAGTAAAAAACATCTTTTGAAAAATTGAATTTGCTGCCTCTCAGAATATTCAAGTTCCTGGTATAATGAATGAAAATTTATACTCATTATTCCCATTGTTGCCTACTTTTCACTGATGTGGCCTGAGAAAACGCCAACTGTAGGGGTGCTGGGTGCAGCGTCTTCTCAACACGTCACACTGTGCAGTGACAGGCGCATGGAGGCTCTAAAAGTTCACGGAAAATGCTATCTTTTCACTTCACTTCTACACAAACTTTTTGAAGTCCTTTTATAGTATTTCCCCTTCTTCGACTAATTTAGTGTTATAAATAATTCTGCTAATTTTTTTAAGGTTTATTTATTTGAAAGGCAGAGTTACAGAAGGGGAAAGAGAGGTCTTCCATCTGCTGGTTCGCTCCCACCCCCCACCCAAATAACCACAACAGCCAGGGTTGGGCCAGACTGAAACCAGGAGCCAGGAACTCTATCCAGGTCTCTGATGTGGGTGGCAGGGACCCATAGATTTGGGCCATCTTCTAGTGCCTTCCCAGGTGCATTACCAGGGAACTGGATTGGAAATGGAGCAGCCAGTCCTCAAATTGGCACTCCTAGGGGATGCCAGCACCACAGGTGGTGGCTTAACCTGCTGCACCACAACACTGACCCCAAATGTTTTGAAAATGTGAAGACCCTGTATTTCATTGTATTTTGGTCTTAAAGTTTCCTCACCCAATGAAAGATAGGAAGGATTTTAGGTGCCGGTACTAAAATGTTTCAACTCACGTACCATGGATTTAATCTCAAGATTTTTGGGGGGGTCTTCATCTCTCGGAGCCCCTCTCCTGTCTGCTGTGGCAGGAGTTTTCTGACTTAGGTAAATCTTGCTTTGCTCACCAAAAAAAAAAAAAAAAAAAAGAAAGAAAAGAAAAGAAATATTTTTCAGGGCCAGTGCTGTGGTCCAGTAGGTTAAAGCCCTGGCCTGCAGTTCTGGCATCCCATATGGGCGCTGGTTTGAGTCTTTGTTGCTCCTCTTGTGATCCAGGTCCCTGCTAATGTGCTTGGGAAAGCAGAGGAAGATGACCCAAGTTCTTGGGACCCTCCACCCATGTAGGAGACCCAGAAGAAGCTCCTGTCTTCAGATTGACTCAGCTCTGGCCACTGCGGCCATTTGGGGAGTGAACAGTGGAGGGAAGACCTCTGTTTCTAACCTCTCTCTGTAACTCTTTCAAATAAATAAAATAGCTTTTAAAAAGTCATAAAAGAAAATATATCTTTTTGTTTAACTGCTGATCTTACTCACTAGAATATGGTGTCTAATTCTAGTCACTGAGATGTACATTCATTAATTTGATTCCAGGCCAGCCATGTAAAAGAGGGAGGAAGCGCCGGTCTCATTCCAAGCCAGTTCCTGGAAGAGAAGAGGAAGGCATTTGTCAGAAGAGACTGGGACAATTCAGGTGATGAGCTGGACAGGATACACAACAAGTAGTCCTTTGTGGCCACCTTTCTTGGCCTCTTTTGACTGGAAAAACAAATGAATTTATTCAACATACATCTAGATTGAATCCCTCTAGTCCACTTGAGTGGCTCTCGAAAGTAATTTTTTCGATCCCTTTCTGCCACCTGCTGGTAAAGCATCAAAACTCAGTGGCTCCTCTGACCCCAGCCACCACCTCCATCCCCTCTGCCTGCTAGGATGCACCTTGGGAAGGTAGTTCTGCCCCACAGAGCAGGACTGGCAGGTCTCGGTACTGTGACGCACTCTAAGTTCTGTTTGTCTTGTCCTCCTTCAGGACCTTTCTGTGGAACTATAAGTAGCAAAAAGAAGAAAAAGATGATGTATCTTACGACCAGAAATGCAGGTAGGTTTTAAATACTTGTCTTGAGACATCTAAGTGGAGCAGATTTTTATTTTTTTTTTGTGGCATAAATTTTGAATCAGACTAGTCCACAACTTGAAGGGGCTGGCCTGTGAACAGGTGACAGGCTATGAGTATAATCTAAAGACACTATTTAAATCCTGAGAGTGTGTATGGGATCAGTGCACTTGGTTTTGTGATTGTAATTTGCAACAAAATGAATTAGGATTTTTGCTTGTTTAAATGAAGGAGTGTGTTATAATTGTTCAGAGAGTTGTAAAATAGTAATTTATTGTTACTAAAGGACAGAGGATACTAAGTTCTCATCAAGGGCAACTGTGTTGTGCTATAATATATATCCATGCAAGAATAGCACTGGACTAAATGAATCTTAGTCTGATCTTTTTTTTCCTTTAAGATTTTTATTTATTTGACAGGCAGTTACATAGGGAAAGGGAAGGTCTTCCATCTGCTGGTTACTCACCAAATGGCCACAATGGCTGGGGCTGAGCCAGCCTGAAACTAGGACCCAGGAACTCCATCTAAGCTCCCACCTGGGTGGCAGGGACCCAAGCACTTCGCTATCTTCTGTTGCTTTCCCAGGTGCATTAGCAGGAGCTGGATCTGAAGCAGAGTAGCTGAGACTCAAACCAGTGGCTTATCCCATGCACCACAACCCCAGACTCTGGTAGTGTTCTTTAAAAGAGGTACATATTAAAAGAAAGACATGTTAACAGCATGAGGGCTTTGAAATATTAGCTAGTTTGATTGTGGTAGTCATTTCATGATGTGTACATTAATTAAAACATCAACTTGTATACCTTAAATATATACAATTCCTCTGTCAGTTATACCTCAGTGAAACTGAAATTTTTAAAAAAACTGGAAAAAAAAAAAAAACTCAGCTCTGGATTAGGTACCCTTCATTGTAAGAAAGGGAGAGAAAGAGGAGAAGGGAAGGTAAATATGGAAACTGCCATATTTTTAGTCCTCAGCCATAGAGAGTAATAGGTGCAAGATGCAGCTCTTTGAGTCAGAACTGGCTTTGGGGGTTTCCTCGAAATAGTTGACAATTTTGAACATGGATTCTTGACTTCAGATCTACCTCTGTACTGGTAAATAGCATACTGTAAAGGAAGTAATATGGAAGGAAGGAGGCAGCTTCTTGTCTCCTAACATTGGCTTCACCTGCTGTGGGATGAAAGAATGACTGTTAATAGAATAACCTAAGGAGGAAGTGTTATTACTGATTGAGAGCTATACAAATTACAATGGGAAATAGAGTATTTCAGATCTACTTTTGGCCTTCTTTATTCATTAACATACACCCTTAAGGCTTTTTTGCAAAATAGAAAATGTGTAATTTTCCCATTGACTAAGATTGTAATTTTGGGATGTGTTTCTACTGAAAAGAGTTCGGATCCAATATTTTGACTGAACTGCAAATTTCAGGATCTTAATATTTAAACATCAGTGTGTTGTCTGTATGCATCATGTTAATCAAACTGGCATTTGCAGATTGACCTTTCAGCGTGTACCCATTGTCCTCACTGGAAGGCACACTCATTCCAGCAGCTGCACTAAATACACTCCCATCTTCTGTACATGATGTACACTTGTTAGTGTGAATTATGTAAACCCACTGTAATTTGTTTATATTAAAGGAATTATTTCTGCTGGCATTGATAATAGATTTCAACATATAGAGTGATAATAAAGATAACACAGGAATCTTTCTAATTTGCATAGGCAGATTTATAGGGTAAATGACTGGAAGCAAATGTTTAAAATCAAGATGTAAAATAACTCATACTTTGCCAAATTTGTGAAAACGGCTCTATTTTAAGGGGGTACAAGTCAAGTGATATTTGACAACTAAACCATTATGGAAAGAATAACAGAGGGATTTATTTTTTATGTAGAGGCAAGATAACTGAATATAAGATTTTCCTGTTTATTTTTGCATTTAGAATTTGATCGTCATGAAATCCAGATATATGAGGAGGTAGCCAAAATGCCTCCCTTCCAGAGAAAAACGTTAGTGTTGATAGGGGCTCAAGGTGTGGGCCGAAGAAGCTTGAAAAACAGGTTCATAGTATTGAATCCTACCAGATTTGGAACAACAGTGCCATGTAAGTTTTCTGTGTTTTCTTTGCTATTTAATTAGCTGGAAAGAGTATGGGCATATGGAAAGGGGAGATATTACTAATTATTTTGCCCAAATAGTTTTTTGCTATGACAGTGCAAATGAAGAAGTAGAAGATACTGAAAGACTCAGTAATTCTGTAACTATCTTGCGATGCTGCTAAAGCAGTGTTGGCTTTCTGCCTGTTGATGACAGTTGCTTCTTCAGAGTACTCAGTCCAGAAATATTAGAGTTCAATGCAAGTATTTAAGAACTGTGACAAAATTGGCATTAATTTACAACTGATGTCTATCAGGAAAGTTGTATTTTTCACCCATGTTAATGTAAAGAAAGGAGGGAAGCCTGCTTTGTCACATCCAGGATGACAAAACCTTTGTGCACTGTTGTGGTCTGGCTTGTAGCCTGGGAGGTCATAAACTAATTTTTGATGGCACATCAAGAGTGATTCATCTTCCACATGGGTAGCATTAATTAAGGTCACAAGATGCTGTATCCTATAAAATAATACTGGTGAGAATTATGGCCATTAAGTGAACCAGACATTGATTTGTGATCTTTGCATACTCTTCCTCTTGCCATATTTACATGGAAAGTTAGATCATGATATCATAAGTGTTGAGAATGGCATTCAATCAAGGCATTAGGTGATATCACTGGCTGTATTATAATGACTAATCTACTTCTGTCTTTGTTTTGGAGGTACATGAGCCTCTGTGGGGACTTGTATGCTCTCCCCCAAACAGAGCAGCAGATAAGCTCGAATGCCGTAATGACTCCCTTTCTGTACTTGTGTTATGGACTCTGTCCCCTTTTAACACAGTTCACCTCTAGGTATATGAATGCCTTTAAACTGTTTTGAGTCAAATCTTAGTCTAAAGCTGCCCCATCTCTTTTAAATAAATTTTAGAGTTTCTCTTGTTTGATCCTGTAGGTTTTGAGATCTAATGCTTGGTGAATAATCTTATTGCTAAAATTCTAAGAGGTCGGGAGAGTAACTCTGTCACTGCCCTCATGTTCTCCTTATAATCCCTTCAGGGGAATGCTGTGGTTCCAGGGTAGGCACTGTAAATCTATAAATTAGACAAATCCTAAGTAGTTGCTAGAATAAAAACTTCACTGTTGTCATGTATTTTAAGGCTATAATTGTGAAGTAAAAGGTTTTCTATTTTTATCAAATTAATATATGCACAGTGTATTATTCAAGTAGTTCTAAAGACATACAATGGAATAAAATAACTTGCTTTCTTCCCTGCCCCACCTTTGGCCCACTTACCAGAAGTAGTCAATTTCATTCTTCTTTGCTGTTCTCTTGGTAGTGTTCAGTATTTCTTAATAATGTTTTTACTTTGTTGTTTCCTGCTTTATCCAGTTTAGGGTTTATCAGTTGACTTCCTAATTAATCTCTCAATATAAAAGATCAATTTTTTTAAAGATTTATTTATTTGAAAGTCAGAGTTACACAGAGAGAGGAGACACAGAAAGAGAGGTCTTCCATCCCATGGTTCACTCCCCAGTTGGCCACAATGACCGAGCTGCGCCAATCCAAAGCCAGGAGCCAGGAGCTTCTTCCGGGTCTCCCACGCGGGTGCAGGGTCCCAGAGATTTGAACCATCTTGTACTGCTTTCCCTGGCCATAGCAGAGAGCTGGATCAGAAGTGAAGCAGCCAGGACTAGAACCGGCGCCCATATGGGATGCCGGCACTTCAGGCCAGGACGTTAACCCGCTGCACCACAGCGCCAGCCCCAGGGATAGATCTGTTTTTGGTTAACTCAGTTTTACATCCCTGAGCAGCCTCCCCTGTATCCAAGGCAGCAATCACTAGAGTTCTTTCTTTCTGCTGCTCCTTACCTGATTGTATACATATCTGTACATGGTTTTTTTGGTTGTTGTTTAAACCAGATTCACTCATCGAGTAAGTTGTGTTTTTCCTGAAGATCTTCCTGTGTCACTGAACTCTCCAGGCTTCAGTGAGGGCTGCACGTTCTGTGTTCTGCCTGCATGACCATCAACACTAGAGCATTGTCCTTTGTGGTGGTCCTGGCTGGGAGCAGTGTTCTGGATCTCATTCTTGTTCTTTCTTGGTCTAGCGCCTCATTTTACTGGGCACATCCTCCTGTAATCTCACAGAAAATGATGTATGGAATATCATGTCTGTATGTTTGTGTTTAAGATGTGTATTTTCTGCCCTATATTTGATTCATTATTTGTTGAAGGATAGAAATTCTGGATTGTAAAATCCAAAAGATGTTACTTGTCATTTCTCAGAGGAGCAGTGCCATTCTAACTCTTTTACACATGACCTTACTTTTCTTTCAAAGATATTTAGAAAAGCTCTCAGCCGGCGCCGCAGCTCACTAGGCTAATCCTCCGCCTGTGGTGCCAGCACCCCGGGTTCTAGTCCCGGTCGGGGCGCCGGATTCTGTCCCAGTTGCCCCTCCCAATCCAGCTCTCTGCTGTGGCCCGGGAGTGCAGTGGAGGATGGCCCAAATCCTTGGGCCCTGCACCCGCATGGGAGACCAGGAGAAGCACCTGGCTCCTGGCTTTGGATCAGCGCGGTGCGCTGGCTGCAGCAGCCATTGGGGGCTGAACCAATAGAAGACCTTTCTCTCTGTGTCTCTCTCTCACTGTCCACTCTGCCTGTCCAAAAAAAAAAAAAAAGCCCTTACATATGTTCGTGCTGAGAATATTCTCTAATCAAGATTAAAGAGAGGGAGATAGAAATCAGCCTGCCCCGTATCCTCCCCAGTGTTTAGCTTCTAGCCTCAGAGTCCCAAGTTCCTTCCAGGTTCTTGTGCAGGGTAAGTCTGTCTCCTTCCACAACTCCCTCTTCATCCCTTTGGCTGCAGCATCTTCTGTCATGAAACCCAGTTACCAGAAGTCAGTGTTGACATCTTATGGCTGTAGCATCTTAGGTTTTACTTTTTCATTGGTATTGGTTTCATTTCAGTTTTAAAAGATTTTTTTTCTTCAAATTTTTTTCATCTTTTTAAAATTTCAATGTCATATATAACAAAACTAGTTTAAGAATAATGGTAGCAGTAGCAATAATAATAATAATACATATGTTCTCAGAACCCAAAGTGTCTACTTAAATACTTTCAATTGCACACACAGGTGGTACCCACATAGCACTGAATGTTAATTACACTTTTGCCTTTTCTTCGCTCCTTTATCCCATGTTTATCTTTTTTGTTTTTTTCTGTTGATTTTCCAATTTTTCAGTTGATTTTTTTTATTTGACAGGTAGAGTTAGAGAGAAAGGTCTTCCTTCCATTGGTTCACCCCCAAAAATGGCCGCTACAGCCAGCACTGCGCCCATCTGAAGCCAGGAGCCAGGTGGTTCCTCCTGGTCTCCCATGCGGGTGCAGGCGCCCAAGCACTTGGGCCTCAGTTGATTTTCTTTTTTTACAGCTTTGTTGAGATATAATTCACATACCAGACAATTCATATATTTAAAGTGTATACTTCAGTGGTTTTCAATATTTTAGTATACTCACAGTTATATAGGCATCATCACAATTTCAGGATGTTTTTATCATCCCAAAAAGACACTCTGACCCCCTTGCCATCAGTTCCCTCTCCCCCTTAATAATTAGCCTTGGGCAATTATTAATCCTCGGTCATAATAGATTTCTTTATGTAGTATTTTGTGACTAGTTTTTTAACAGAATGCCTTCGAATCATCCAGGTTATAGCATTTATCAGTACTTAGTTTCTTTGCATTGCTAAATCAGATTCTATTTTATGGTGTTCACTCAGTAGACAGACATTGGATTGTACTTTAGTTACTGTGAACGGTGCTGCTATGAATATTTGTATACTGTTGTTAGTGGAGAAATAGGCTTCATTTCTCTTGGATTAGCTGCCCAGGACTGGAATTTATGTCATATGGTCACTGTATGTTCACGCCTTGAGGAACCGTCACAGTCTTTTTCCACAGAGGATGTCTGAACCCTTTGACAACTGAGCAGTGTGGGAAGTTTTTCCAATTACTCTACGTCCTCACCAACATTTGTCAGCTGGCTTTTTGATTATAGTCATCCTAGTGGATATGAAGTTTATAGTTCATTGTGATTCTAATTTTTTATTTCCCTGCAGTTTGATAATGTTGAGCAGCTTTCCATGTACATATTTTCCATTTACCTATCTTCTTTGGAGAAATGTCTGTTCCGATTGATAGCTCATCTTTTTTAATTATGTTATATGATTTTTTTCTTAAATTGTAAGAAGAATTTTTATAGTGTGTGCATGAGTCCTTTCTTTATAAGATATGATTTAGAAATATTTTCTCATATTGTGTCATGACTTTTCATGTTTCACTGGTAACCTTTAATATGTAAAAATTTTACATATTTCTTTCAAATTTCAGTCTTTTGGTATCACATCAAATATGGTATAAGACTTTGCATAACTCAAGTCCACAACATTTACTCCAGTATTTTCTTCCAAGAGTTTTATAGTACTAGCTCTTACAGTTAGATCTATTATCAATTTTGAGTTCATTTTTATGTAAAATATGGTAGGGAGGGGTATCCAGTCTCATTGGTTTGCTTGCAGATATTTCATTATCTCAGAACAATTTTATGCAAAAAACTTTTTTTCCTTCCTTGAATAATCTTGCTGTCCTCCTTAAAAGTCAGTCAACTGTGAATGTGAAGATGTATTTGTGGACTCAGTTCTTTTCCATTAACCTGTATGTCAGTCCTCATGCCAGCCCCACATTGCTTTGATTAATGCGTTTTTGTAGTCGATCTCAAAGTACAGAATTGTAGATTCTCCCATTTTTTTTCAAGACTGTTTTAGCTTTCTAGGTCCTCTATATAAATTATAATGTAAACTTAATTTCTACAGAAAAAGGCAGCCAGAATTTTGAGAGGGATATTAGTAAATCAATTTGGGGAGTATTGCCATCCCAACAGTATTAAGGCCTCCAATCTGTGAGCATGGAATGTGTTTCTGTATATTTAGATCTTTAATTTCTTTCA